TCCGCTTCACCCCGTAGGGAACGGTGTGGTTGAGGTTCTCTAGGAGGGGGGCTGGTTGCCCAGCTTGGTTGTGATCGACCCCCTGTTAGTAGGGCAGTAGACTCTCCAGGATCGTCGGCCCATATGTTTGAGGGCCCGTTGCCAGGCCGAGCTTCAGTGGTTAAGGTAGTATAGAAGTTTCCACTACCAGTTCCCCTTCCCCTTCCAAATACTGATCCTATGTTACCAAGAGACCGTTCTGACAAATGGCCTATCGAACGCATCCTCTCGCACAACTCATCATACTGTTGTTGTGTTCGGGGCATTTGGTGGTGGAGTGTCTGCAAGAGTTGCATGGCTCGCTGGTTGCCGACGCCTAAGGCGCGGAATAGGATAGTAGTGAGCAGTTGGAAGTTGGGAAGGTCAAGCCCCACCGACTGTGCCCCAAGACGGGCCATCTCGAACCGAGTGAGGGTTACATCGATTCGTTCTCCGTGAGGCACATGAAAGTCGATGAGCTGTGTGCCTGAAGTGAGCTGGCGCTCATCTTCCAGGCGTTCGGACTTCATGCTTAAGAGGAACATGCTGTAGGTTACTGGGTCGGTGTGGACACCGTCGATGTCCGCACCGTAGTTTATAATGTCAGGTGGTACCCTCATGGCGAGTGTCCTCGCTAGGCCACCCAGGCCGCGTTGTATGGCGGCTGCTTGGGCCTGTGGCGTCATACGTCCGCTTGTGACGTTGAGCCACGCGTTGACCTCATAAACGTATTCGCGGAAAGGTACGTTGCCTTGGGGGTCCCAGTATGGGCCATGTGTTTGCCCATCTGTGCTGTTGTCTCCTCGGCGCATGTGTCCGATTGCTGCCCCCAGCGCGAACCATATGATGGCGAAGATAACCAGCCCGAGGCTGTGAAGATATGGGTGGTTATCAGGCGCGTTGCCGCGCTGGGGTAGCGCCTTGTCAAGTCTCCGAGGCGCGTTATCTTGCGGGTCTCCCCGCCTCTGCTTCAAGTGCTGCGTTTTTGGCTCGTTGCCGAGCGGTTGGTAATAGCGTAGTGATGAAGCGTATATGGTACCAATGTTGTTGTCTAGACGTCGTGCCTCTCGTGCTGCTTCTTGCTCTTGAATTGATCCTCGTAAATGTAGTTGGAGTGGTGGCGCAGGGTGGTAGTCGGTCGCGAAGATCGTGCCAGATAGCGTGAGGATAAGAAGAGCAAGAGCTGACCACACGAGAGTGCGGCCAGCTCCGCTACCAAGTCTGAAATGACTGTGGCAAGTCAAATAGCATCCGATTCCATGGGAAGCGGATGGCAGATAGCGTCCAATGCCATGCTGGGGTAGTTCAGTATGGGGAGTGGACGGAGTAATGATCTTTCCAACACATAGCGAACACAAGCAGTGTCCGGGCAAATAGGGCGCGCGTGCCTTGAGCCAAAGGCAACGGCGCGCGAGCTATACTCCCGATCCTATATAACGTCTCCCAAAGAGCTACCCTTAACATGTATCCTCCTGGTCTGGGGGCATACGGGGACCACTGGTCAGAAGACATTGTCCGGGTAACTTCCGTTTCGACTCTTCGAGGAACCCTTTCTTGGAAACTACCCGGGATCCCCGCGGTCCGAATGTTCGCAAGATCCCTTTCAGAGATATCTGGGGCCCCCCATTCCGAATGACCACCAAAATCTATTCAGGATGCTGCGTATGGCAGATAGCTGACAGGCACCTGGCCAGACCTGCTGGACGACGACGACGAGGATGCTGATGCTGATGATGATGCTGATGCTGATGCTGATGCTGATGCTGATGATGATGATGATGATGATGATGATGATGATGATGATGATGATGATGATGATGATTATGATGATTATGATGATGATGGGGAGGATGATGAGGAGGAGGAGGAGGAGGAGGAGGAAGGGGAGGGGGAGGAGGAGAAGGAGGAGGAGGAGGAGGAGGAGGACGAGAAAATGTCTGAGAAGGAGAAGGACATCATTTAATCAGGCGAGCAAAAAACACGAAACGCACGCGCTGAAGCTCCACACGTAAACAGCTGGTCGTCATACGCCGCGCTGGGTTGGAACCGACTCCTTCTTCTTGGATGTCACACAAATGGGGCACGAGTGAATGGGGGCAGAGGGTCGAGTCGTCATGAGTCGTCGATGCATCCGCGACGAGTGAATGAGCGCAGTATCGGCGATGCGGCGCGATCAGCCGACCCATCCACTCCGACCAAAACTTAGGCGGCCTAGATTGTTCGCGAACAGCACCTCACTGGAGCACGTGGCTAGCGAGGCAGCGTGAGAATATAGGAATGAGAACAACCAACCCGTGAACATATCGGGGGGCGCACTGAAAGCTCGAGTACTAGCTGTTGGAACTCAGGAGGGCCCCCGTTCGAGCGGGGACCCCATGCGGCAGCTTACGCCTGTAGGTCCGGTGGAACTTGAGCCTCGAGAGGTATCTCTGTGTGTCGCGGGGGCGGCCAAGGCCAGCTGCCGCCACTCCCTGGACCTTTCCCGAGGTGCGCCAGCCGTGGCGACGAGTGAGGAGGCAACGGCAGCAATACCCTCCGATCTCCAAAGCCGTGTTCCTCTGGGCAGCATGGGCCCGAATAGATCTGCACCCATTCCCAGGGTCTGATTTTGCACCCAGGGTCGTCCTCTGACGGTCCCTGGTCCCTGGGCCTGGTGATGGGTGAGGGTCCCCGGAAGCCGAGAACTGGGCAACACATACCGTCGCGCGACTTGTTGTGGCCGATGCTCCGAGGTCTAAGTGTCTGCCCAGCCATCCGACGATATAAGAGGACTGCGCGGCCGTCCCATGGGGCTTCGCAAACACGCCACAGGACAACGTATAGTGCACATGTTTCCAGCCGGGTCTCCCGGCGACAGGTGTTGAAACATACCTCCATGTATATAAACATAGCTACACATACATGTACATATATATATATGTGTGTACATACATACATACATACATACATACATACGTACATACATACATACATACAAACATACATACATATACATGCATGCAAACATACATACATACATACATACATACATACATACATACATACATACATACATACATTTGCATGCATGCATCGAGACATCCATACATACATACATACATACATACATACATACATACATACACGCATACATATATGTATATATATATGTGTATCTATAGATATGAACATACATACATAGATAGAGATGTGTATACGTATGTATACGCATTTGTGGTCATGTATGTGGCTGGGTGTATGACAGTGTGTATGTGTATGCGTATATGAGCGTATGTGTGCATATGTATGTGTACGTGCCTAGACGTATCCGCATGTGTATGTACAATTCAATGCATATGTGCACGTGCAAGTGCAGGTATATGCGCACGTATATGTATATGTGTATGCATATGTGCGTTGAGAGGTGTAGCGCTATGTAAGTGTAACCAGTAACTGTATATGCTTATGGATATATATATATGCATGTATAAGTAGATGAGTGTGTGTATACGTATACCTGCATGTATAGTCGAGTGCATGTATGTTTATGTGTATGTGCGTATGTATGCATGTGCGTACGTGTGTAAACATGTCTGTAAGTATGTAGTTCGGTCTCGATATGATTGTACGTATGGATGTACATATATGGCTATGTATGTACGTATGCATGTACGTACGTATGCATGTATGTGTACGTATGCATGCCTCCATGAACATGTCATTACGTATGTGCATGTGTGTGCATGTATACATGCCTGCCTGCCTGCATGCATGCGTTGCACGTACGTATGGATGTATGTATGCATGTGTATGTATGCATGCATTGATGTATACATGCATGTGTGTATGTATGCATGCATGCATGTGCGTATTCATATAGATGTATGTATATATAGGATTGTGTGTATGGCTGAATGAACGAAGGTATGTATAGGTATGACTGCGTGTACATATGTATGCATGTATGCATGTATGTATTGATGTATGTATGCATGGACGGATGGACTGATGGATTTATGCATGCATGCATGCAGGCGGTATGTATTTAGGTAGCTATATGTATGCACTACATGTGTATGGGCCGCCATTTGCCACCAAGTGCTGAACAAGCATAGCATGGTATGCCGGACCTGTTCCAGGCCCCAGGATGTGATGTGTTCGATCCCCTGCCCCATACGTCTTGACCGGCTCCGCGGCCCATTGGCGGGCCCCAGGGGCAGAGATCGAAGAAGAGCACTCCGACGACTGCAGAGAGCATATCGTCGGAGGTCCGTGCTCCTCCTCCCCAAACCCCCGACGTCATGCCGACTCCCAGGAGTCTCGACGCATTCCTCGGGACCAGCTTCTCAATCGGGTTTGGGGCGGTCCCGCGGTCTGCAAAATTCCGTTCACGAGGCGAGGGGGTCTGTCGGGGGCGTCCAAGGAGGGGGGCGCGCAGAGCGTGTCGCGAAGCATGTGCGCGGACAGGGGGGAGACCAGGGTTGAAACGGGACGAGGGGGCCACGAGATACGGGTCAGACACCATAGCCCTGGGCATGGTATCCTTCCTGGTCAATCACCCTCCTCTCAGTCGCCCCGAGTCTGGGTCGGCAGGCCATGAGAGTGAGCATCGTTTGGCCGACCCCATATCCCCATGGGCGTGGCCTGCCCACACTAGACAGTCGATTTACCCCCCTAGTTTGGGATCCAAGCCGTTTCCGTCGGGTTTCGAGGGGTATACAGTATATCCCCCACCGGTGGGGTGAGATGGGAGGGCGTCTGGATGAGGATGGGGATTTGGGGACGGGGGGTGGGTCAGACGACGCTGAGGGAAGGAGATCGCCGGGCAGCGCCCGAACGGGCCGCCAGAGCCAGGCCCTGCCACGGGCAGCCCAGCGACGGACGAGCAGAGGCCGGGCCCACCGGGCGCCAACAGGGCTGGAGCTAAGCAGTGCTTTTCGTTTTTGTTTTACTTCGTTATGTTTTCGCTCTGCCTTTGCTACGAAACGACATCAGAACGAGAACGGTCCACGGCATCGCCAACATACCGTTTAGCTCGAGCCCCTGCGCGCCAATAACAACAAAAAAACAGGCGAGTTCAGCGAAGGCCGCAGCGGGCCGCCGCTCCACGGCGCCTTCGGGCGTGATCTCGGAGGAGGGCCACGTCGAGACGGCGGCGCCCCTCCCCCCTGAGCTCTGAGCGTGTTGCAATTCTTGAACACGTTGGGCTCTCTTTTGCCCGCTTTCGGGCCCTGGGGCCCTTACAAATCGATTCGGCTCGACAAATGAAGCAGAAACGTATCATACGTAGGGCTCTGGGCGTGTTTTCTCAGGAGATCTCAAGTTCTTCGCATCGTCGGATCTCAGGGCCTGGTGTTGTCCAACTCGTGGCCTCCCTGAGTCTTCTCGATGCCACGACCAGATCCGCCTCGCAAATCTGGCCAGGACCCAGACACGCGGGGACCCTGGAAGTTCCTACCCTTTTCCCACGGAGAGGTTTTCATCGCGACTCGTTCGTGGATCGTCCTGGGGCCCGGCGAGGGCCCCCTGGGGAGCAGAAAACGGCCGAAAACATCCCTTCGCAAGTCCTTCTTGACGCGAGCATGTCTTTGGAGGCCTGGAAACGAGCACCAACACCAACACAGGAGGTTTGCCTCCACAGAGAAAAAGCGATCCTAGATTTCGGTGCCGGTGGAACTAATTCGGTCACCTTGAAAGCCAGAATCTTACCACCACCGCCGAGATCGGCATCTTCCTCCCTCGGTGGAGGCAGACCGCCGATATTGGAGCTGGTAGCAACCCCGAGGCCTTCGATATCTGGGGATGGATCCTGGAAGAGGTCTGGGGGCCGATGCTGACAAGACTCGGGCCAGACGGAAGGGCCGCCGTTGCCTCAACAGGGCCCACCTCCGATGCAGCCCCGCAGCGAGCGGGCACAATAATCCCGACTGGCGCGTGGGCGGTGACCGCACACCGGAAGGATGGCGCGGCCATCGTCGTCTTCCCGAGGACCTCCCCAGACCTCCTCCTTCTCCTCCTCCTCCGCCTCCTCCTCCTCCTCCTCCTGCTCCGCCTCCGCCTCCGCCTCCTCCTCCGCTTCCTCCTCATCCTCCTTCTTCTTCCCCACGGCGGATGTGTTCTTTTTTGGTGCTCTGTCAAGCCTCTAGGGGCTCCGGGGGCCCTCGCCGAGGCCCGAGGCAGCGAGAAGCTACGGGACGAACAAGTGGCCCTGGTGAGCGTGTCGAGACCTCTCGGGGTGACGTCGTCGGGAGTCTGGGCAAGCGTCGTGACCTGTCTCGCAGCTCGGGGCTCCAGATGTATCCTTGAACCCCTTCCCTAGGACCGGCCGCCTTGCATCCCGACCCAGTCTCGGCCGAAAGCGGGCGAAAACCTGCCGCCGCCATGTAGGCACTACGAGAGAGAGGGGGTATGGGTTCCTCCCCCCCCGCCCCTCCACCTCCCCTGTCCTCTCTGCGCAGCTGGGCTATACCCCCCCCTATCACCTGCCTCTCCACCTCTCCACCTCCCACCTCTCCACCTCTCCACCTCCCCCCTGCCTCTACACCTCTCCACCTCTATACCTCCCCCCCCCCCGCCTCTCCACCTCCCCTGTCCTATCTCTGCGCAGCTGGGCTATACCCCCCTCCCTCACCTGCCCCATCCACTCCAGCCGCCCTCGCCCGTCTCCTCCCCTGCAGCGGGCTGCTGCTGCAAGGCTCGGGGCTGCACGGGCCAGCCCTCTCTGACGACGGGCCAGTGGACAAAAAACTACGCCCCTCTCTTTTCTCTCTCCCCCGCCCCATCCGCCCCCACCACCCTCGCCCCTCTCCTCCTCCTCCTCCTGCCGCCGCTTCCATCCCTCCCCAGGCAGGCCTAAAGGACACTCCGAATTCCTAAATCCCACCAGCCCTCTGTGCGGAGGTGGTTTAAAGTGTGTGCTCTAACACCCCCCGAGTTCCCCTTCGGGGAGGGGTTACCCCTCCCCCTCCCCCATCCACCTTTGTCTGGACGGGGGGGGGGGGGGCGGGGGGGGCCGCGAGCAGTCAGGGCGCCCAAGATGACCCAACATGGCTCCAAGAGGGCTTCTGATGCTCCAAGATGGCCTCCAAGATTACCCCCGATAGCCGAAGATGGCTCAAGTTGGCTTCCAACATGATGCAAGAGGTCCAAAAGACTGCTCCAAGAGGGTTCCAAATGCTCTCGGTGTCCCCACGGGACCCCCGCAAGACGCCAATTTCCTTCAAACACCCAGGAAGATCAATGATTTGTTGCTTCGCGTTTTCGCTTCCGACGCGCTTTGGGGTCCTCAAGATTGTCCCAAGATGGCCCAAGAGAGCCCCAAGAGGGGCCCAGGAGGCTCCCAGACGGCCCCAAGAGTGCCTCAAGAGGAGCCCAATAGGCGATTTTGAGGGCCCCAGAAAGGGAGACCTTGGTATGATTCGCCCCCCTTTTGCTAATCGACGGCCTCCAAGATAGCCCCAGGAGGCCCTCCTGGGCTCCCAAGAGAACCCAAAGAGAACCCCCAAGGGTCATGAACCCCCCCAAGAGCCCTAAGAGGACCAAGAAACCCAAGAGGGCCCCAAGGTGGCCCCGAGAGATCACAAGAGCACTCAAAGAGGGCCTCAAGAGGACCCCAGATGGCTGCCAGGATCCTCGTCCTAATCCTCCTCGTCCTCGTCCTCATCCTCCTCCTCCTCCTCCTCCTCCTCGTCGTCATCCTTTTCGTTTTCGTCCTCTTCCTCGTCCTGCTCCTCGTCCTCGCTTTCGTCCTCATCATTTTCATTGCCCTCGTCGTCCTCTTCGTCCTTGTCCTCCTCTTCCTCTTTGTCCCTCTTCCTGTTTGTCCTCCTCCTCCTCCTCCTCCTCCTCCTCCTCCTTCTCCTCCTCCTCCTCCTCCTCCTCCTGGTCCTCCTCCTTCTCCTCCTTCTCCTCCTCCTCCTTCTCCCTCCTAGCGCCAGCTCGGTCCTAGCCTGCCCGGCTTGCGAGCTAGCGCCAGGGCGGCCCCCCGGCCGCTGCTTCGCCCCGTCCCTTCCGCCCCTCTCTGGACAAGGCCCCATGGCTTGCTGATGCTGGCCGCCCAGAGCGGCCCCGCCGCACTGCAGCGGAACGCCGCGCCCGAGCTGGCAGGGCGCAGGCGCGCGCAGTGCAGGTATTGCTGAAGCACTTCGGCAGCCTCGCCCATCGGGGCTGCAAGCCCACTCGCGTCGGCGCGGCGCTCGAGGCTGCTCTACGTGCCCATGGTGCTCAAGCCGCGCGTGAAGAAGAGGGCGGAGGTCGATGTGAAGATGATGGGAAGTACAAGGGCATGGACAAAACATGCACTGATGATGGTCCCGCACCTCCTGCCGCTCAAGGTCTTCACCCTGATCCTCGGAGCGGTGGTCGTGACCCGTGGTCATCCGCTGCGCCTGCCCGGAGGCATGCAGATCTTCGTGGAGCCGCTGAAGGTGTTGAGCCTCCTGCATGTGCTCATCCTGCGCCTCCTGACGAGGCACGTGCCGAGGCCGGTCCAGCTCGGAACAAGGGCAACGGCGAGGACAAGGAGATGTGCATTGGCAAGGACAAGGGCCGGGACGGCCCTGATCCAGAGTGCCAGGGTTGCGGGAGGGCCCGCCGTTTCGGCAAGCGTGCTTGCCGTAAGTGCGAGGCCGCGGAGCGCCTGCAGCAGCGCAGGGATCGGTTCTCCCCATGTTTCCCCCCTCCTTCGCCTCTGCCGCGCCGTGCGGGCCGCGGGCGATAGCGAGGCGTGCAGCCGCTGGAACGGCGTCGCATTGGCTGGGGCTTTGACAGGTTGGCATGAGGAGCGAGTCTGGGTAGGTTCCCGCCTCGGCCTGCCACGCGCTCGCTGTCCCGAGCGTGGCAGGGCGCAGGCGCGCGCAGTGCAGGTATTGCTGAAGCACTTCGGCAGCCTCGCCCATCGGGGCTGCAAGCCCACTCGCGTCGGCGCGGCGCTCGAGGCTGCTCTACGTGCCCATGGTGCTCAAGCCGCGCGTGAAGAAGAGGGCGGAGGTCGATGTGAAGATGATGGGAAGTACAAGGGCATGGACAAAACATGCACTGATGATGGTCCCGCACCTCCTGCCGCTCAAGGTCTTCACCCTGATCCTCGGAGCGGTGGTCGTGACCCGTGGTCATCCGCTGCGCCTGCCCGGAGGCATGCAGATCTTCGTGGAGCCGCTGAAGGTGTTGAGCCTCCTGCATGTGCTCATCCTGCGCCTCCTGACGAGGCACGTGCCGAGGCCGGTCCAGCTCGGAACAAGGGCAACGGCGAGGACAAGGAGATGTGCATTGGCAAGGACAAGGGCCGGGACGGCCCTGATCCAGAGTGCCAGGGTTGCGGGAGGGCCCGCCGTTTCGGCAAGCGTGCTTGCCGTAAGTGCGAGGCCGCGGAGCGCCTGCAGCAGCGCAGGGATCGGTTCTCCCCATGTTTCCCCCCTCCTTCGCCTCTGCCGCGCCGTGCGGGCCGCGGGCGATAGCGAGGCGTGCAGCCGCTGGAACGGCGTCGCATTGGCTGGGGCTTTGACAGGTTGGCATGAGGAGCGAGTCTGGGTAGGTTCCCGCCTCGGCCTGCCACGCGCTCGCTGTCCCGAGCGTGGCAGGAGGGGTCGGGGGTCCACTCCCGCTCCTTTCGCTGGCTTGTCTCAGCCTGACAAATGAAGTGTCCAATCCAATCCTTCTTCTCCCTCCTCCAGATTTCAGCGCGCAGGCCGCTGCTATCGCGACGGGCCGCTCCGCCACCGGGCCCGCGACGGAGGTCACTCCGGCGAGGGGCCACCGCTACGTGCAGTCGCTGCGGGCGAGCGGAAACGTCCGCACCCAGGCAGCCGGCGGCTTGCAGTTCCTGCTCTTGTTCGACTGTGGTCGCGCTGCTCTGAGCTACGAGCGCCCACCTCCGAACCTTCGGCGGCGCGCGCACAGGCGTACGGGGGAGGGGCGAATGCTTCTCAGAAGGAGCCTGCTCTTTAGAAGGCGCGGGCCTTCTCTGCAGACGCAGGGCCGGCGCCTCCTGAGAAGCAGCCTCCCTCTCAAAGAAAGCCTGCCCCCTCGCCCCGTACCACCACCACCCCGTGCGCGCCGCCGAGATCTGCCCCCGAGAGCCTGGGCGGGGGGCAGGCGCTAAGCTGCCGTGCGCCCCTGCAGCGCCCCAAAAGGCGGGCCAGCCTCCACCAGGCTCGCCTGCTCGGAGGGGTCGGCGCTCAGGTTGTACAGCTGCTCGCCACGGTGGCAGGAAGGGTACGCGCTCTCGAACTTTGCCATATCGAACGCGCTGATGCGCACCTGCTCAATGGGCCCTCGAAACGACAGGGCCGTCCTTTTACCCGTTCCGTTTTGCCGTCGTGTTGCCAGTTCTGGTGCCGTTTTGCTTCCGGTTCCGTCGCCGTTGTTTTGCCAGCTCCAGTTCCGGTCCCATTCCGGAGCCGTTTCTTCACCGCCTCGGGTTGCCGTTTCTCCCCGCTTCCGTGTTCAAGAAACGCTGTTTCGGAACCGATGACAAAGCGGCGATGCCGTTTCCGGGGCCCACTACGCGGGCCTGTTCACAGTGGGCGGCGTCGACCCCGTTGTTCGCCAGCACCGCCTCGAAGTCGTAGCGCGTGATGCGTTTCATTCGGTCTCGGGTCACCACCGCCCTGTCGAGCATCGACTCCGCGTAAACCTGTGCCCGGTCCAGGGATGACGTCCCAGCGGACGCGAGCGACGACCAACTGAGACCATCCAGTGGGAGCGGAAAGGAGTCTTGCGAGCAGCACCCAGCCCACTCCAAGAATGTCGGCGCCAGGTCGACGTGAGAGACCAGGCCTGACACCCATTTACCAGCGGGGATGCCTGGGCCGAACGCAGAAAGTGGCACTCGTATCCCTAACTCGTACAGTGTGCCTTTGGCTGATCCGTGGTCGGTAGACATGACGATGTAAGTGTTCCTTATGGCACCCCTCTCGGAAAGAAAATCGTACAGCACACCCAGTGACTCGTCAACCCAGCGCAGGCCAGCGAACTTGAACATAAGAGTCTCGTCCTCGGAGATGCTCGCGGCCTCCCACACGGCCTCGCGCGAGGCCATGCTGCAACTGGAACAGTACCGAGAGATGTTCGGAAGCTTCGGCAGCATGCCGGCTGGTGTTGTTCTCTTGACTTGGTCATCGAACATATCCTCCGATAATTTTGGCGGATAATGTGGCAACGTCGGGTTGAAATACAGGAAGAAGGGCTGATCCGTGCCCGTCGCGCTGTCCATGAAGGCGAGCGCTTTCTCGGTCACCCACTCCATGTTGTGCGAGAGCGACTCGCCTCCTTCGTCGTCCAAATTCGTGATGTACAAACCGTCAACGTAATCGAAACCTGCATCCTCCACCATTTTCTGCTGTGTCGCATAAGGGATGGTGAACGCTGCTTCCGCTGCCAGGTGCCACTTGCCCACCATGCCGGTCGTGTAGCCCAAATTCTGAAGCGCTCGGGCGACATTATCATGTTTGTCGCGCTCGCCAAAGACACTGACCTGCTGAGGGTAACGGTAGGGGGAGACTACCTCAGGGGGGGAAACGTCGAGCTGGAATCGGTGATACATCGACGATAGATTGGCGATGGGCCCCCGATAGCGAATCCACACGTCCCTGGGCGGGGTGGGACTATCGGGCCACTGCAAGCGATGTATGGGCAATTGGGGCCGATGCAGTCCCCCCTGGGCCTATCACTCCCTACCGTTGCCCGTGACTCGGCTTACGGTTTTCGGGCCATACCTCGGGCCTCAGGCGGCCGTTCGGGACGATCGGGAGACCCCTGGAACGCTCCTGGCGAGGCGGAGCCGCCAGAAGACACCCCCAGGCTGGAACGCCGCCGAGAACTGACGAAAACGCCGGAGAACCTGTGCCTATGCCTATGCCCCTGACGCTGCCCCTCCGTCCCCCGCCTGTGCCCATCCCCCCTGGCGTTGCCCCTGATCCCCCTGAAGTACCCGAGGGGACACCCAGGCCGGCTCCGCCCTGCCCAAGAACTCCCTGCTCCACTCCTGCGCGTACTGGCTGCTGGACGGGTAGCGCCCGGTGAGTATGGAGAATCGCGAGGGCGTGCACGAGGAGGACGTGGAGTACGCGTTGGTGAACGTGGCGCCCAGCTGGGCAATCGTCGGGGGCGTCCAAGAGGGGGGCGCCCAAGATCGGCGGCGAGCCCAGGGGGGAACGCAGGGGGGGGCGTGCCTTCTCTCAGAAGGAAGGCTCGGAAGGCCTCGCCTCCTGAGAAAAGTTGTCTAAGCCTTCCCCGAAGACAGAGACTCGGGCCGGAGCCTCCCGGCGCAGGAGGCGGCGATTTATTGAGGAATGGGCCCCTCGGTGGGACCGAAACCAGCTGCATGCGGCAAATTTCGTAAACCCCCCGATCCCCCCCTTTCGTCCGGCCCGAGAGACGGCGCCTCGGAAGACCGGTGGGCTTCTGCGGAGCCCCGGCGCGAGGCATTCTAGACGAAGACACGCCGGCATGCCCCCTCTCGCTTCCCCCTGGGCTCGCGACCGACAAGGAGAGGGTCTCAGATCATGGCCCGGGGGCACGTGCGCGAGCGAGGGCTGACAAGGGGGGCGTGCAGAAAGAAGAGGACCCAGACATGATCGCGTCGTGAAAAAATCAGGACGGCAAATTTTTAGCTATTTTCGGCCCTGGCGGGCCCTCGCCAGGCCTCGGGACCGTCAACAAAAAGACTCAGGGCGAAAAAACCGGTCCCAGGGAAAGGGTCAGGACTTCCAGGGACGTCGTCCTGAAGAAATCAGGACGTCGCATGTCTGGGGAGGGGGCCATGAAGTCCGGGGAGACGCCATGGCCCCGGCCATGAATTCCCCCCCCCATACTAGTCATCACCCCCCTCTTGGCCGCCCTCGGAATACGGTTGAAATTGGCGGCGAAGTCCCCACCTACCGGGATCGGGATCGAGCCTATAGGTATATCTTCTGGTACCGGGGGCGCGATGTCGTTCTGCTGCCAGGGGGCGAAATCCGACAGGTACCTGGGGATCCGATGTCTTCTCTATTTTCGAAGCGGGGTCCCTGGATGCCCCGACACTTTGCCCAGGGCTGGCTTTGCATGCCGAGTCGTCGATTGACGGTCCAGAAGCCCAGCGAGGCCCCCATGGCCCAGAATGGCAAACCAAAGAAAACGCCCGTCATGATCTATTGCACGACGCGAAGATGTCTGGCTTTGGGGTCATAACTCGGCTCTCCGGCGACCGTTCGGGACGATCTGGGCACCCCTGGAACGCTCCCTGCGAGGCGCAGCCGCTGAAAGGCACTCCGAGGCTTGAAAATCGCCGACAGCCGAAGAAAATGCCCGAAAACCTCGAACCTCGCATGGAATGTTTCAATACGTGGGAGGTCTGGGTACATGTCGTCCGGGAGCCAGAGGACGATGTTCGGCTTCCTCTGGCCTAAGAGGTAACGAAGGAGGAGGACTGGCTCGAGGGGGGAAACATCGACACGGAATCGGCGATACGTCACCAACAGTTCGGCGATAGGCCCCCGATAGCGAATCCGCACCTTCCTGGGCGGGGTGGGCTATCGTGCTCCTATAGGCGATCAGTGGGCGATTGGAGGTCCATGCCATGCCATGGCTCGGACGTGCATTCCCCGTGCATTCCCCAGACGTCCATGCCTTGCCATCGCTCGGGCGTCCATCCCTCGTGCATTCCCCGCGCATTGTGTTTTTCAAGATGGTCCACGATGCTCCAAGATGGTCCAGACTTTCTGACGCCGGCCCCGCCGCGAGAAATGCACACGTCCGAGCGATGCCAACATGCATCCCTCCCTGTGCCTGCGAGGCCGTATCGTCTCGGATTCCGCGAACGGGAAGGGCCCCAATGGGCCCGCACCAGAGGTCACTCCGGCAAAAGCTCACTCTTGCGTGCTTATTTTCGGTCGGGAGCGGACGTCCCTGCGACCACACGACCGAGCGGCACACGCATAGGCCCTGGAGCTTACCTCCAGTGGCGCCGATCACCCTAAATGCGAGACTGGCAGAGGACCGAGCTTGCAGCGTGGTTGCCAAACATCTGTCTGGGATGGGCAGGGAAGGTCACTCTTACGTGTAGTCTTAGGTCGGGCATGTCCTCCTACAGGTCGATGCTGGAGGAAAAGCAGGAAATAGTCAAGCAATACCCCAAAATGGCAAAACAAATAGTAGACAAATCATCCCCACATTATTTTTGGAACATGTTTGGATACTCCTCCTGTAGAGGGACAGGCCCGACTTAAGTGTAGTCGCCTCTCCCCCCCCAACGTGGGGGAGACCAAAAGCTACCGAGGCCGCTACTCCCTGGACCTCTCCGAGGCTGCGCTCTGACCGGGACTTCGAGGCGAGTGCCGCGGTGGCGACGAGGGCCTCCCAGGAGGCCCCGACAGTGGAGAAACGAGGGAGGGGTAGCGGCAGGGGTACTTTTTGTCGGGAACGTCGAGAAGGTCTGGTTCAAGAACGGAGACCTCGACGGCTGCTGGGGCACCTCGGGTTGAGCTGTGGGGCATCAGGTCAGGCTTGGGGGCCTCAGAACTAGCGAAAACAACCCTGCGCACCGAACCCTTCTGGCAGCCTCCGACCCCAAACATGCGAGGTCCTGATTATTTTTGGACGGCGCCCCCGAAAGTCCCGACCCTTTCCCCGGGACCGGTCTTTCGTCCTGAGTCGTTTTTTGACGGTCCCGAGGCCCGGCGAGGGCGCCCAGGGGTCAAAAACGACCACAAGCCTCCCGCCCGGATTTTTTCCTTACCTAGGCTCTGCATAGAGGGTTCTTACCCTGTTAGCTTAAAGGGGCCGGGCAGTGTAAATCGCCCCGGGCGGTTCCCCCAGGATCCGCCCTGCGGTTCCCCCAGTCCCCTGGGAGCTTTAGCTTTAGCTTTAGCTTTAGCTTTATAGTTAGCTTAGCTTGAGCTTTATATTTAGCTTAGCTTTAGCTTAGCGTTAGCTTAGCGTTAGCTCAGCTTTACCTTAGCTTTACCTTAGTTTTAGCTGGGCGTTAGCTTAGCTTTAGTTGTAGCTTAGTTGTAGCTTAGCTTTAGCTTAGCTTCACCTTAGCTTTAGCTTAGCTTTAAGTTCGTTGTACCTTAGCGTTAGCTGAGCTTTAGTTTAGCTTTAGCTTAGCTTTGGCTTAGCTTCAACTTAGCTTCAGCTTAGCTTCAGCTTAGCTTTAGCTCAGCTTTAGCTTAGCTTCAGCGTAGCATTACTGTCACTACTAATGCTGCTGTCCTAGGGGCTCCAACTCCTAGGTAGGGTCGCACTGGGATTTTTTTTTACAACGCGACCATGTCTGGGACTTTTCCTCGTCGGAAGCGTTGCCCCCCTGCTGGCCCTGCCCGTGGCCGGCCGGCGGGCGCAGGCCGCCGCCGGCCGGCCCGCGCTGCAGCAGGGACACGCAGGGCACCGCGTCCTCCGCGGCCGCGTCCGCGGACGCGGCGTCGGGCAGCGCCGCGGCCCGCCCCGGGCACGCCTTCCAGCAGGGGGGCACGCTCCTCCTCCTCCTCCTCCTCCTCCTCCTCCTCCTCCTCCTCCTCCTCCTCCTCCTCCTCCTCCTCCCCCTCCTGTGCTCGTGGTGTTCGAGGTCTTCGAGGTTTTCGAAGTGTTCGGGCGTTCTCGCGGGCTCTCGGCGGATCTCCAGCCGCGGGCTGCGCTCCAGCGGCTGCGCCTCGCCGAGGGCCTTCCGGGAGGGCCAGGTTCCTCCCGAGGGGCCGCCCGAGGCCCGAGTTTCGGCCCGAACGCCGAAGACCAAGTCAGGGCAACGTCAGTGTAACATTGCCCTGACTTTGGATCTGCCGTACTTTGGGCGACTCCGTAAGTAGATCGGCCATTTCCCCACTGCTGTTCAGGCCCCTCTGAGGCCGATGCCCGCCGCACTTTGCCGTCGCTGTTCCTGCCGCGCAGCTTGTGGACATATCCGCCGGATTGTTCAGAGATCATTTCAGACCTGCTTTTCGCATCCTTCGGGGTGCGTTTTTGGCAATTTAAACTCACCAAATTACAAGGATGACCAGCGAGCCCGAGTAAACGGGCTTTAGCCGGACTCAGCAAGGCTCTGCCAGATTGGGCCAGGTGTCGGCGGATTCATGGGTGGCCAAAATGGAACGCAACCGCACCGCACGGGACGGGCCCTCTGTACGTCAGAGTAAAGACAGTAAGTCCCACTTTGGCCGCCTGCCGCGAGATGGGCCAGAATGCGCCCGCAGGCTACGAGGACGCGTTATAGGAGAGCGGCATAATGGCAGAACAGATGCTGAAATAACCGCTTCAGAGGAATACATAAGGGTCGGAGCTTGCCTCCCGATAGGGGCCCTTATTCCACATTGACCGGACTTGCACCCCAGCGGGGGGGGAGGGCTCGCCTATCCTCAGATCCTCAACCTCCCCAGACCTCCTCCCACACCTCCGACGATCAGCTTTTCCCAACCCGGGCGTTTCTCCTCGATCTCGGCTTCTGGGGGCACGTTAGTGATTGGCCCCTGGGAATGGTTCGTGGAAAAAAAAACACACGCGGATGCCAGGGTCCTCGACGTGAAGAAATGCGTGACAGATGGGGGCCCTGTCACGAATTTCTTTCGGGCGGGTGGTAACGGGGGGGTGCACTCATTATGACGTGAAGAAAAGAACCCTAAAAAGACCCGTTTCAAGCCACTGAATCCGTTTTGGAAACCGCAGGAGCCCCAAGGGGCCCCTTTTACGGCCCCTGAGTATACCCCCCACCTAGGCCCCCCCTAATACGATCGGCCCGAATCTTCACGTCCCCCCCACCCCCAGAATCGTGGGGGCGTTCATATACGCCCTCCCACCACCCCCGGGGTGGGGGCGTGGGGGGGCGTGTTTGGACCTCGGGAGCCCCTGGCAGGGAACCAGAACTCTGGGTATCCGCGTTGCGTAAAAACGCAACGTCGGAGATCTGGGCTCTCATACTGCTGCTTTCATATTGCTAGGACGAAAATCCGTCATCGAAGCGTCTATTCATATTGTTGCTTCTCCTCCTTCTCCGCCTCACCCCGCTCCTCCTCGGCCGCTCCCTTCCTGCTCCTCCCATGCTCACCCTTGCCTCCTCCTCCTCGTCCCCCCCTCCTCCTTCTCCTCCTACTCCTTCTCCTCTCCTATTGCTCCTCCTCCTCCTCCTCCTCCTCCTTCTCCTCCACCCCTTCTCAGTAATACAAATCTCCTCTCTGCTGCACTCCCAGAGGTGTTTGTAGGACGGGACGGGCGTTTCGTTTGAGATTCCCTCGCCGTTCATGATCCTGAACTTGCAATGTGTTGACACATGGAGAGAGGGCCGTTTGCGAAATGTGGCTCTCGCCTTCGCGCTGCGCGTATTCGTTTCCCAGAGTTTGCAACAACCTCACAGATTGAGGGTGAGTGGTTTTCAACATGTGGATCTGGTCTCAGCGCCGCGTACATTCATTTCAAACGTATGCAACAGCTTCACGGAGGGAGGGCGGGTCCTTTTGAAATCAGTCTCTCGCCTGAGCGGTGCACACATTCGTCTTAAACAAATGCAACTGATTCGCGGATGGAGGGCGGGTTGTTTTAAATATATGGTCACGCCTCAGCGCCCAGCGCATTCGTCCCAAACGTGTGTAGCAGCTTCACGGATGGAGGGCGGGCTCTGTTGCACATGAGTTCCTCGCTTGAGCGGTGCGCACATTCGTCTGAAAGATGGCCACAACCTCAAGGATGGAGGTCGGGTCCAGTTCAAAATGTCGCTCTCGCCTCAGCGCCGCGCACATTCGTCTTAAACAGTTGCAGCTGATTCAAGGATGGTGCGCAGGCCCTTTTCAAAATGTGGATGTCGCCATAGCGCCGCGCACTACTGCCGCTTGAAAGAATCGTGTGGTCGAAATCCTAAGAAAACTCTGGCCCGATGAGCTATCAGGACGCAGCAGTCACATTGATTCGCGGTGTTGAAATCCCAGGAATGGTATTCTGGCGCATTCCAGGGGCGTCAATTCGCAACAGTCACGTTGATCCGGCGCATGAAGTCCCAGGAGCTGTGCTCTGGCACCGTTGAAGATTTTCAGACGGTTGTCTTCTTAGGAGCTGCGAAGGGGAACGTGGAGGGAGGGAGTCTTGAAACGTCGCTGGTGCGTCTTGGGTTTGCACACCATCTCCTCCTGCGCCTCCTCCTCCTCCTCCTCCTCCTCTTCGTGTTCATCGTCCTCCTCGTCCTCGTCCTCCTCCTCCTTTTCCGCCCTCTCCTCAGCCGCCCTCCTCCCTACGGGTGCTGCTCGCTCCCCGACGTCCTCGCTCTCCAACGACGCCAGCTGCACCCCACTGTCACTCTAGCAACGACGTCCGACTCGCCATCTCCTCGGCGAGGCGGAACGTTCTCGGCGAGGCGCAGAAGCTGCCCGAGGCCGGTAAACAGCCGAAGACCGACGAAAACGCCTGAAAATCTTGAACCTCGGCGATGGCGACGGCGGCGGCAACGACAGCGACGACAGCGACCGCCGAGAACCGGCGAAAACGTCCGAAAGCCTGGCACCTCGACGGCGATGACGGCGGCACCGACAGCGACGACAGCGGCGACGACGGCAGGCGGCTGCATCGCGCGGCGGCGGCGACGACCTCCTCGGCGCCGGCTGCCGCGGCCGGAGCGCTGCCGAGCACCAGGCGGAGGAGGCCCAGCCGCCCCGCCGCGGCGGCCGCGCCCTGCCGCGCCATCCCCGGGGCCTCGCCCCTTTCGCGGGGGGAGGGGTCTCTCGCGCCGATGCGGCTGCGGACGGACCCACCCTGTGGTGCGAGGGGCCGGCGCCCGACTCGTGGTCGTCGTCCTGCTCCTCGTCGTCGTCGTCGTTGTCGTCGTCGCCGTCGTCGCCTCCGCGGACGGCGGCGCCCGATCCAAAAATCCAGCGGGAAATGTGAGGATAAGCAAAAGTAATTGCCCCTAACCATTTGGGAGGGGGCCCAAGTTAGGAGGGCCAAAAACATGAGGGATAGGGGGTCTCCTCTGCAAATATATCGGGCCAAGCCGCCCAGTTGTCTTGTTTGCCGAATGCGAAGACGAGGACCTCCGTGAGGCCACGTCTTCATC